TTGACAGTGCCGACTTTCGTGACCATATCACGTGATCAGCTAGCATTGAGGGTACGGCGTGTAAGGTTCGAAAACAAAAAAAAATTATATTTAACTGATTATAGCGCATATCCTACTTAAACAAGAGGTAAGGGCTCCAACCCGGACCAGTTTATTTATCGAACCCGGTGTTTGACTTGGCTGTTCCGTGTCCCGGGTCTAGGTCTGACCCGGACCAATGACCCATTGGTCACTTTCAATTTTTCTACTCGTGTTTTGCCATCGCAACCAACCAAAATAGTATACTTTTGGCTGATTTGGGGTCCTGGTTTTGAACTCTTTGCTCCAAATCTAGCACCTGTTGTACTGATAAGGGTGGCTTGTGTCGGTCTCTGATGATTGCTGGTCACCATTTTTTAATATAAACAATTTAGCCGATAAATATAAAACTTTTGTGAAAATGAAAATAGAACCGGGGTAACCAGAAACTTGGTCGCCTCTTCCGACAATGTCGCCCAGCAAACAAAAGAGTGATGCCACACCCGCTAATAGCAAGAAGACAAGCTGGGTTTTGTAAGGCTTAGAGAAGTAGTTGATGCTATTTGACAAAGCTTCGTGGCGTATCAGAAATTTGCGGAGCTACGTATGCATATACTGCTATGAGAAGGTTCAAAAGTTTGGTCAAGCATTTAATGAGCAAGCATCAGATGCATGATAATCTACTTTATCAAGGTGCAATGATTGCATATTTAAAAATAGTACATCTTCAGGTTTGTGCATCGCATAAGCTGGTGTAATTGAGTTTAAATATGCAGGCGTAACTTAAACTTATATTAAAGCATTCGTTGTCTTATAAATTTGTGGAATACAGACAACTGCGAGATCTTCGAGAGCGTGGCGATCCTGCAAATCGCTCTTTGTAATCACCAGCAAATGGCAGTTCACCAGAGTCGATTACCTTTACAAGCTTTTAATCAAACTGATTGGAAGTTGTACATGTGTCTATACAATGTGAACATACAGTGATATGTATCCGATGATCCGCGGAACCAACACCGCTTTGTGAGCAGGTTCATGGCAGAAGAAAGATGCCGATACACACTCATGTGCTTCAACCACATAAACAGTGCTACTCGATTTTGGTGTACATTTAAACCCATATGTTGGCCCGTTTGACGGTTATGTTGAAGGACTTTGCCACATGAACGCTTGACTTGCCCACTTGATCCAAAACACGTTTCACACTTGTACATTTGGGGGCTCTGTTGCGATGATCGATTACGTAGTACACGTAGGTGTGTTGGACAGGGCGACTCGATCGGTTGCCCTGGACAAGTTGTTTCTGGTCATGTGTCGAGGTCTGATTCCAATCAATGACCCTGGGTCGGAGCCTTAAGATAAGTAATGTTAATGCATACATCTTAAGATCGTATCTGGTATGAAACCCGTCCACAAATTTCTCACCTATGGCTACGACATGTTCGGTCAGTAAATTTGATCATTTTACACTTGCCATATTCTTGACAAACAAATAGTCACCACTTTAGAACGGCAAATCCTAAACTTGTTGAGAGCGGAGTAGATGTCACACCGGCTCTCAATTTGTTCTGCAAAGTTTGACGATTGTATCACCATCCTCGTGTATGACTATATTACGAGCAGAAGTCATTTTCACGTAAACGCGCATTTTTGTCATTAGAGACACTCAAATGTGTCGATAAGAAGAAGAATAGTAAAGCCAAGTATCGCGTGGTGTCTATGATAATAACGAATCATTAATATAGCCACGAGATACTACATATTATCATTATTACGTATGGCCCTGTTGTCGTCGTGTGACATCATTATCGCTGCTTCTGCGGATTTATAAAAATGCATCAATTCTCTTCATAGTCTTCATCGCCACAATTTCTGTCTTTTTCCGTCTTCTGAATTCCCTTTTTGTGTTCCGTACTTTTAATATACGGATGTATTACTCTTCTCGTCAGTTGATTATTATCTAAAGCTACGCGTGACGATTTGTAGATTTTAAATATCGATAGGAGCGTTTACTTTATAAGGACAGTATTGTGGCCTTAGAGTACTTTACATTGTAAAGCTAGTATAAATAGCATTTTATCACTAAACGTAGACGCTTTCTTATACATGTGCTTTTAATTATAGACTCAAAGTATACGCAAGCATTGCCACAACTTGACCCCCACCCCGGCAACACCCGGTCTCACGATAATAAGAAATAATGGAGCCGCTAGGCCACTGGGCGATGCCAAAATTTTCTGGCAATGTTTCGGCTTGCGAGGGTGTAAAGTAAAAAATGAGTGTATTTAGTAACCAAATATTTATCAATGTCAGCCAATTGCTACACGTGTTTACTGAACAAAGAAAGTGGAAGTGAAAACAAACAAAAGGGAGTGCATCTAAAAACTCTCTAAAAGCAAGGAAATATTAAGTCCCAGATCCAAAATTTCGTACTGATAAAGTTTGCGAAAAAGTTATGCTGAAATATGCCGGAAAAAGGATAGATATCGTAGGGTTGTACAAAGGTGATTTAAATTTTGGAAATGATAGCACAAAAGGTGTACTGGTGCGAATTATTATAAGACTGACCTGCCTTAAGGGGAAAATTGGTGTAGCCATCTGAATCACATGTTTGATAAAAGGACAAACGTGCGGACCTAGAAGCACCCGCGAGCGTCTTGCAGATGGCATCTAATATGTTAAGAAGTCTACAAAAATAGAAATGTTTCGACGCGATTCGTCTGAAGGTGCTATTAGCTCAAATATGGCTAAATACATGCCAGAATTGGCTCGTGTGCCAGTTATGACTACTGTTGCAAGAAATAAAGACTGGTATGGAAATGCCTTTGGAACCTACCTTAGCAGGGAAAAAAGGATAATAAAATGATCAAAGCAAGATCAGGGATGTTTATTGCTTAGTAATAATATCTAGAGAGTCCGATTAATGCTAGTTGTGAGTGTTTTATGGTCGTGATGCGGATCATTACCAGCGAAACTGCTTCAAACGCGATGACAAGGAGCAATCAAGTTGAAGAAGGCGTGTTCAAGCAATAGATACGATATCACTTCAGAACAGCTTTGCTGCAGCTATAAAGTATGGGTCGAATGTAATGCAGTCGAAACGTGATGTAATCATTGGTGAATTGGTATGAAAAGTGCGAGGACACAAATCCCACTTGATGAATTATTGATGCAGATACGAACACACATATTGACTCTTGTAAAGGGTGTTTCACTGCACTACCAGATCTATAAGACATTGAAAGATATTTGACAATTTTAGAAAATCCTGACGTGAGTAAAGTTAAAACGAAATTCGTTGGAACGGCGTTTATTTCTATCACAATTGATGCGCATTTTTTTCACTTAATTTTTTAAAAACGTACTCAATGTTCCTGAAGCTGGGTGTAACTTGTGTTCTTCTAGATTACCTCTGGTTCAAGGCGCGAATATGCCATAAACGCAAGTGAAAGGCTATTTAGTATGATTTAGGATTATCTAGCGGTTATCGCACTGAGCATGACAATCGATCGTGGCCCTTCACCTCAAACAATAGTATTATCATCAGTAAGAAGACAAAGCATGTTACACTGTGTAGAGTAGCTGGGGGAAAAAGCCGAAGTAAATATATTTAAGGTCCTTAGTTTGCTACCATGAGCTATCTCTAAGCCTTTACGTAGCGCTGTTCCATGGCAATCCTCTGAAACTACCATAAAACTACGTGATGATTTATCACATACATCATCATCCTAACAACATGAAACGTACCTGTTCAGCGGTGTAATATCAACACTCCCACTCACCGCTACTGCTTGGTAACCTTGCACGGGATACCGTTCGCATCGCGCAGGAACTTGAACGTCTTGGATCCTAGAGCCTTGGTCAGTATGTCAGCCAGGTGATGTTTGGTGTACACATGCGCCAGCGCAACCGCTTCGGCTTCGATCGTCTCTTTGATAAAGTGATGAAGGATGTCCACATGCTTGGTCCGAGCATGATACCAGCATTCTGAGCGAAACAAATTGCGCCTTGATCATCCTCCCAGATGCTAGTAGCGTTCCTTTGTACCATTCTCATGTCCGTCAGCATTGCACGCGTCCACAGCACTTCCTGAACACATAGGTTGCAAGCCGTATAATCAGTTTCCGATGAGCGAGGAAAAAGCGTTCGTTAAAACTTAGACTTGAAAAACACGGGAGCGTTTCCAATTATGATCATTATACTCGAGACAGAACGCATGTTTTCGAGATTAGATCCCCAGTCCGCATCCGAGTAGGCTTTAGCTGCGACGCGGTTAGTACCACCTTTGTAGATGATACAGTGCTGGCGGGTCGTCTAGAAGTAGCGGAGAACACGTAAAGCAGCGCTCCTATGCTGCTGCCCGGGATTATCCAGAAGAACGAGAAAGTTGCGCTACCACAAATTGAATGTCCGGGTGAGTAGACGTCGTGATTTAAAGCAGGCATCCAATTAGGGAACGGTACGGTCTTGATTGAATCTTGCTTCGTTCTGCATCCGATGCTGGCGATTGCGACATTGACAACTTTTCACCGGGTGAACATGGGTTGTTCACCGTCTTGGAGTTTTCTTGTTGGAGCGGGCTTAGAGATGTGAAGTAAATTGAGAACTAAATGTATTTGAGCTTACGTCTTTGGTTACCTATGATGTCCGTTACCTTCACTGTCTGTTACCTACAATGTCCGTTACCTTCAATCTCTCCTGCGTAGGTTTCCTCAAATCACCTTGTCCATCCTAATGGTTGCGTCGTTACACCTCACTTATGTCCTGTCCCATTAACAGTCGTGCCCTGTCACATCATTAGTCGCACTGTTTCAACACTCCTTCCCGTGTGGACATGCTTAACCACTAAGCATTATCAGTCCACGTATCTCGCTAAGTCGGGGTGCTGGTAGGGTCTTGGTCAGGATGTCCGCACGCATTTTCTTGGACTCACAATACTGCACGGCCAGCAAATCCTTTTTTGCAAGATCTTTCACAAACTTCTATCGCACGTCGATGTGCTTCGCTCGACCAGATGTGTCTTCGCCCTTGATTTGAGCGATGGCAGCTTGGTTATCCACGTGTAAAGTCGTACATGACTGCATCTGCACGCCGATCTCCTTGAGCAATTCCACGATGCCTATCATCTCAGCTGATGTTTGCGAAGCCGCCACATACTCGGCTTCCATCGTTGACAATGCAACATATTTCTGTTTCTTGCACATCCAGCCTACAATCATGCCGCCCACCATGAACACACCACCGCTAACCGACTTCCGGTCACTCTTGTCTGCAGCGTAGGCGGCATCGCTGAATGCTTCGACTACCACGCCGTCTTTTTTCATTAAGTTCTTGTCTCCCTTCATCATGATATTCAGTTTCTTTTTGCCCTTGAGATATTTTGCGATCTTCTTTGCTAGGCGCCAATCGCCTTCACTCGGTGCGTGCGAGCGACGAGTCACTCGGTGCACCGCAAACGCTATGGCGAGGCGTGTACATCGAGATATCCATAACAGACTACCGACTAGCGACTGGAAAGTCTGCACAGTTGGTCTTTTTGGCGATCCTTTCCCATCAGAAGGTAGCAGCGCACCTTCTTCGTCTCCGCCGATTGGCACCCTGACCGCTGCCAACTCGACTAATCCGAACCTCTCGAGCATCTCATCAATAGCAGGTTCTTGGTTCAGTTTCCACCCATTATCGTCATCGTAACGAAACAATTTACCAAGGAATTTGGACACAACCCAAGGTTCTTAAGCTCAACCACTTACATGTCATTAAAGAAATCGTTGATCTTCTGAGAACCGGTTGCGGTCGCCAGCACATCATCCATGTAGATTCCAACGAGCGTTTTGCCGTCACTATCATCTTTAATGTATAGACAACTGTCCGTATAGCACTGACAGAAACCCAGGGACATGAGTATGTCGGGAGCATCAGATTCCACAATCTTCCAGACTGTTTAAGTCCATACAGACCCTTTTTTAGCTTCAGTGCAAGATGTCCCTTATGCTGCACTCCGAACTTGTCCAACAACTTGGCCTCAATATCCATACCTTTCAGAATATGGAGAAGTATCTCCAAGCCTTCTTCTTTGTCGGCTTTGACATAAGCACTCGGCACATCGCCGTGTTGCGCAGGTACTCCCCAGATTCTTGAAACTGCAAGAATCACTTTGCCAGAAACCATTTTTATAACGGCCGAAGAAAGTGTAGGTATAATCGATACCATAAACTTGTTCATCTCCTCGCGCCACCAGCCTCGCCTTGTATCTTTCGATCGTGCCGTCAGCGTGCATCTTGAGCTTGTAAACCCACTTACTATGAAGTAACTTTTCTTCACGTGGCTTTTGTATCACTTCCCACGTATGATTCTACTCCAATGCGTCAATCTCTGTGCGCATTGCCTCCTTCCAGTGCTTGACTCGAGGGTCCTTCATCGCCTCGTGATAGTTCTTGGGGTCTTTAGTCTTGATAGCTTTCACACTAAAGATCGGCACGTGCTTTGTACCCATGTTGCGTGTCTGCATCCGAGCTTGCGTCCGCCCATCCTCTGGTAACTGCTCGACCTCACCTCCATCTCTTTCATTTGGGATAGAGCTGTTACTTATCACCAAATCTTCGTCTGCCTTCGAACCACTCTTCTTTAACTTTGCAGGCTCCTTCCGTTTCGGGGTTTCGTCACGATCCATCCCGGCGCGCCACAGCATGAAATCTTCGTGTTTAATCCGTTTTTGTAGCTGAGCGTTCTGTGCGCTAGTTAACGTTTCGACGCTACGAATATGCTGAGTAGTGATCACAATTTTCTCCTTCGGCAGATAGACTTTGAAGCCCTTAGTTTCATCATTCTTGCCAATAATCATTCCAACTTGAGATCGTGACTTCCATGCTTTCTTCCCAGGATCCCTGAACGTTGAGCAAGAGCTCCCAAATGTTACAATGTCCGCAATGTTCGGACATTTCAACATTTTGAGAGGCGATGGACGCTTAAGGTTAGCGCAACACGAGCTTCGATTCAAAACATAGGGAGCGTACTCAACGGCATCCCCCCCTAAAGAATAAAGGTAGCCCGCTCGCAAATAGCATGCATCTTGCCATGTTGAGTATCGTCCTGTGCATCCTTTCAGCCTTTCCGTTCGATGCCTGATTTGAAGCCTCACTCACTTGGCGCCTTCCACCAGCTGACTTGCAGAACAGGTCGACACTGACATAATCCTTGCCACCGTCCGTTCGCAGCACATGAACTAGACAATTTAATCTCTTCTCGAAGTAAAGCAGGAAATGTTTGAAGTTCGTTGTCGTCTCAATCTAGTTCTTGGCCATGAACGCGCGGACATATTTTGTTGAGTAGTCGACGAAGTTGATTAGGTAACGATTACCACGTCGATCTATTGGTGTCATTGGTCCCTTGATATCACTGCCGATCACACCACCAAGCTTGTCAATAGGCGCGTTGTTGCCTGTATCCTTGTTGGACTGGTTATTTTTGCTCTGCTTACCTTCTGCGCAAGTAAGACAATTTGGCCTGGCTCGGTCCGTTAGGTGAATGCCCAATCCTTAGAGTCGGCCATGCGCTCGACAGTATCGTACCCAAGATGACCAAGCCTCTGATACAACTCCACAAGAGCTGTACTCAATACAGCTTCATCAATTCCATCGTAACCTTGGTAGCAAGGCTAAGTTGACAACTTGAACTTGCGCTTCCTTCATTTTCTCACCCATTACGTCGACTGTTAACACGTCATTGCGGCGAAACACTTCGAAAATGTTTAGGCCATCCTCTTGACGTACCACAAAGCTCTGATTGCCGTCTCGCTCGAGAAACACTCCACGCTCTTCCAATATGCCATAGCTAATGATGTTATCAGCGAGGTTCTCAGCATAATAAACCTCGCTTAGGTCAACTATAACCTCCTTGCCATTGACAGCCTTCCTCAGCTCAGCTGTTCCCTTCGTTGTCACTCGAACCATTGTATTGTTCGCCGCGCGGCACGATTGATCGCAATCAATTGCATTCTTGAGCATTTTCACATCTTTTACAAGGTGCACGCTCGACCCGCTGTACAATATCCACGAGTCAGAGTCAGCTTTTGTTCCAGTCCCAATAGCTAACGAGACTCGATTTGAAGTCGCCTTTCACCACTTCGTTGCTTGGGGCACTTGGATTTGATGTGACCAGTCTCACCGCATCCGTAACATGTACGTGTGTCGGTACTTGCAACCCTTGCAACATTTCTTCCTCCACGCCCGACTTGATCTCTTCGAGCACTGTTAGGGTATTGAGATGCTTGCTCGCGAATTGTTCGTCCCGCTCGGCTGCTTCCTCCTTCGACCCTCGTCTTTCCCATGCTGATGTCAACGTCTATCGCAAATGCAACAAGCTCAGCAGCTTGCACTAAAACGTCCGTTCTCTGCGCATTCAGCCTTGTCAGCGTTGCAGTCTTAATGTGTCCAGGCGCTGACTTGCATAGACATTCTAAAACACTTTGCTCCGAGTTGCCAGATCGCTCCGCCACGTACACCAAGTACTGGTAATGCTCAGGCCATGTCTAACTGTGCTCTTTTTCTCTCGTCATGAGATCAATTCCTTTCGTAGATGGTATCGTAGTTATGTACAGCATCAGCATCCTGTTCATGACGTGCTCTAGTGTGTTCGACACAGCACACCATACCGGTAGCATCTTCTCGTAGTAGCTGAGAGCTGAAACTTATGGCTTACCGCTCAATGCAAGAATCTTGAACTCTTCTGGCCAATCACCCCCGCTAATCATCTGTGCTGCGCCAAGCCGTTGCAGGAAGCGTATTCCCCATGCTTTAAAGTCGGCGCCCACACCTGGATATGTCTCTTTACCCGTGAACTTAGCAAATATATGCCAGTCCAGGTCTCTGGGTTTCGGTATCTTCAGCCCATAATCATTTGGTGTCACAAAAGGGTGCGACGGTTCAGATGACTGATACCGCTCGTCTTGCTGAGGCGGCTGATTCGGCGGCACGCGCATTCGTTGCGGCGGCTGGTGAGGCGGCGGCATGCGTGCTTGACGCATCGGCTCATCGAGTGAGCCCATCCTCATTCGACGGTCACACGCTTGGATAAAGTCGGTAAACGCGCTTGATCCATTGAATGGTTGCTCGTAGGGTGTTGTAGGCGCAGCTTGAGCGTTTCAACTAATCTGATCTTGCGTCTTCAGCTGGTTATTCATGAGCTAGGCTTGCTGCTGCGCCATCCCTGCGAGGAGCCTCTTAAGTCTATCCATTCGCTCAGAGCTCGCGTCAGAGACACAACTCGCGCTATCTCGGGCCTCGGGAGTGCCCGGGGCTGTTGGCGTCTCTTCGCGCAGCACGAAAGAATCAGTGACAACGTTGAGAGTGGTTGACCCCTTATCAGCGGCAAAGATTGCCTGGGCGTGCTGACGAAAAAGGGAGGTTGTTCGCGCTTAGGCTCATAACCTGTTGGAGCGGGCTTAGAGATGTGAAGTAAATTGAGAACTAAATGTATTTGAGCTTACGTCTTTGGTTACATATGATGTCCGTTACCTTCACTGTCTGTTACCTACAATGTCCGTTACCTTCAATCTCTCCTGCGTAGGTTTCCTCAAATCACCTTGCCCATCCTAATGGTTGCGTCGTTACACCTCACTTATGTCCTGTCCCATTAACAGTCGTGCCCTGTCACATCATTAAAGTCGCACTGTTTCAACATTTCTTGCATACACCGGTTCGTCACATCATCGATGCATTTCATTTGCTTGATCATAAGTGTTCTAGCAGTCATGTCATGGTCGATCTCCATTCCCAGGATAAACTTCGCCAGTCCAAGCTCCTTCATCTTAGAGGATTTTTTTTAATGCGGCCTTCACGTCACTGACATCATCACTCGTCTTCGCCACTATGATCATATCATCGACGTAAATGCAGACGTACATTAAACTGTTCTTGGAGCGCTTGACATAAACGCATTGGTCCGCACCACAGCTATTGAAACATAGTCGATAAATACACGATAAATGGTCTTGTTAAGCCGGCACAAATAGTCCTGGGGGTTTTCAACACCTATATTTTTTTTTTCATGTAGACACGGTCCTCCAACTCACTGTTGAGACACGCTGTATCAGCGTCCAACTGTTCCATCTGGTACGTGTAAGCAGCGCAGACGGAGAGCACACCTCGAATCAAGTTCATGTTCACGACTAGAGAGAACGTTTCAAGAAGTCCACCCCGTAATTCTTCTTGAAACCTTTCGCCACCAGTCGCGCTTTGAAGCGCATCACGCGACCGTTCTGGCCACGCTTCTTGGCGAAACCCACCTGCACCCAATGGTGCGCGACTGTCGATAATTAAGGATAATGGCATGGTCATCGCTTACTGCACGGGCTGGCTACTTGGTTGCGAAGTTCACTTGATTACGAATCAGCACTGCATCGGCAATAACCAAGACGCGCTCAATACAAAGGTCTGGTTTCTCGCTCAGTCAACGAGCTGCAAAGGCGGTGAGACTTGTGACTCCCAGGGTGGATGTCCAGGACCGATTGGCGTGACGTCGCCAACGCTAGTGGCCGTCTCGGAAGAGTTGGACTACGCGGTGGTCCGACTTTGTAACATGGTGAATCGTTACCTAACAATTTATAAGAAATTGTTAATAGAATATAACTATCAGAGTTGTA